GTCCGAAAAGCTGTAATATTTAGGAGAGTCCAAATAGGGATTCGTAGCTTGAGAAAATAATGTCAACACTATGTCTCAAACCTTAAGCTTGTTTGATTATTTTTTTTTGCGATTACATTTGCACTTTAAGCTACCTATCTCGTGTCTGCATTCTCTTGAAGATCCATATTCCCCTTTTTAAATTAACAATTTTTAATAATCTTGTAATAAATGTGTGATGTGTATATGCTTCATCTTAAACGTTTCTGATCATTGAATATTTGTAAATTTAGCCTAAGGAATAATACGTTATTTTATTTATAACAAAGATATATTTTGAGGACAAAAATAAACATATTGTTTATTCATTCAGTCCAGGTAAACGTGTTCCTGATTATTCAAACAACAAATCTACACAACTTTCATGATGTTGAAATATTGAGAAATTAACTGCATATTTTCAAAATTTCTATGTTACTTTTGACCCATCAGAAACTGTCAAGGGCTTATAGCCTATATACTAGGTTTTAATACATTTCCCGAAACAATAAAAATGACAAGTTGATATCTTTCAAGACTATGACACTAAATCTGATTTTTCAGCTGTATTGAAGGTCTTAGTGTAATCTTGTGAATGATACTTTTAATGTCCCTTTTCATCGCCAAATACCTTTCTACATTGACTGGGTGAATAGAACTGCACTTGAAAAGACGTTTTTAGTTCCTTTAGCACAAATCCTGTTAAGAATAATCACGAATTAATTAGTAACAACAGTGCTGTATATCTGTCGTCTGGTTCATTATTGTATAGTAGAGTAGCAAGCAGCGAGAATTTACGTGAACACCAATATTCACATGAAATATGTTTATTGGTTTAAAAAGGAGTTGAATAAAAATATAAGGATCTTCAAAATACAGATGTTCAATGAACGACATGCTAATTAAAATGGTGGAAAACGACGTTTCGATTCCTTTGATCAAACCTTCATTAGGATCTGATGAAGATTCACGTAAATGCACCGTAACGTCGTTCCCCATTTTTATCAAGCATTTTGGCGAAACTCCACTTGCTAAAAACAGAAAAAAATATATTGAAATTTACAATCTGACCAGCATCTTATGCACAGGTGAGCTAAATGGCCAGGTCGAAAACCCATAGGATTCAGGCATAGCTCCATTTTTATCAAGCATTTTGGCGAAACTCCACTTGCTAAAAACAGAAAAAAATAATATATTGAAATTTACAATCTGACCAGCATCTTATGCACAGGTGAGCTAAATGGCCAGGTCGAAAACCCATAGGATTCAGGCATAGCCGTTAATAATTTTGAGCTACTGACCGTAGGGAAGTCAGCCAGCCAGCAGCGCACCCGTCATAGACAAGAGCTTTGTTTGAACTCTTCAGTAGGTTAAAAATGAAAAACTAATTACTAGATTATACCAGTTGAAGTGTCATTGCTTGGTCTACATGTAAGTATGGAAACCTCATCATAGTTTAATCTCAAGTTACCGACTTATTTATATCCCGTTCACTGTCGTTGGGGTCCACATATTGCATCATAGTGAACAATTTGTGTTTTTAACTGCCTCGATAGCATAAAGAACTGTCCCAAAAAAGTGGGTGAAATCACCCATTTCCTAAGCAAAATATGTAGGACACCCCGGTATAATTAGTGTGATTATCTGCAGTATTGATGGTGTGTGTGTATGTGGCTCACATGTTATTAGGGATCTTGTAACTAACCAAGTCATAATCCCACGAGCAATTTGGTGCATACATAATTTGGAGAACTGTGTTTAAAAATAACCAAGTCATAATCCCACGAGCAATTTGGTGCATACATAACTTGTAGAATATGCACCAAATTGCTCGTGGGATTATGACTTGGTTATTTTTAAACACAGCATAACTTGTAGAACTGTGTTTAAAAATCCGATGATGCCATCGGTACTTCTAAGGTTAAATAATTTAGATTTCAGATCATGGTTGTTGTGTCATGACACGTGACTATCCAAAACTTTAAATACATTGAGTTGTGCTTACTTTAAGAATAGGGCCATATCTGTCAGTGCGATCTAAATTTGCCGGCTACTGTCACACAGTTGATAAGACAGCATAAGCATTATACAATTAAATTCTGAAAAAAAATCCAAGCCAATAACGACATAACATAACACTGGATTTTAAAAGTTGATTAGAAAAATTATTAAAGTTCTTTCTCATCTAAATTTCACAGAAACATTCTGAATACCTCTTGTTTGTAACCTTCAAACATCTTCACCAGTGATAATTAACGCACGTGATAGATTAACGTATATTCCAAGTTTTGATATGTGTACGAGTGTGTGTATTATATATGAAGTTATATCTTACTTTTGAAGTTCTGTGTTTTGTCACAAAATCTAGCTTGTTAACATAAAAATGTGTGACACTTAAGCTAACTTTCAACTAACGGTTTTTCATTTCTAGCTCCTCTCCGCTTACCTCACCATAAAAATATCTATGAATATTAAAGGAGTACTTAACACTCTCTGTACTAGAACGCTATATGAACTAACATGACTCTTTAGTCGTAGCATAGAAAACTTGTAGTTTGATATAGTAATCCTAAGTCTCGCGTTTTTTGTTTTTTTCTAACTGGCAGTACGGTGTTTCATTTTCTTATCTTAAGCACTGATACCTTGTGTTTCATTTTCTTATCTTAAACACTGATACCTCGTGTTTCATTTTCTTATCTTAAGCACTGATACCTTTTGAAACCTATCAAGTTAACTTATTTGAAAATAAATTTTTAGTGGCATAAGTTATGAAGATATTTAGATTTAACATTAGCGTTTTATACATCTTAACTTAAAAAATGAATCCTAGTAATAAAATAGCCGTTAATACAGGGAAGTAAATGAAGAAGAAATGTTGTTATAATGCATAATTGTCGACTCTTTAAAGCTCTCCGATTTGGAATCAGTCGTAAAACAAATATTATTTTAATTATTATTTTTTTTATTCGCGAGTTTTTCAAAGTATTAATTTCTTTCTTTTTTTTTCTTTTTGCAACAGCAGCAAGAGTTATTTACTTCCAACCGTCCCAACAACATCTGCTTGGGTGAAGAATTCTAGGAAGAACAGCAGGTCTTCTCTTCGAGGTCACTTAGTTCACAGCCCTAAATGGTTGTTTGAAACTTTTTTTTTGTCCGTCTGACCATATCTGTATTCTCAAGGAAAGTTAAGTCACTAAATGAGGAAATCAACTAGATGTATTTGAATAAACTCTAATTGCATTTAGTTTTGCTATAATTAATTACTGTTACTGACATTGCCGCTGTTTTACTAGACGTATTGTTTCTTCATTATTACAGCCTTCTAAAGTTTTGTGGTTTCAACTGATTTTGCTTCTATTCCTAAGACTGCCGCAACTAGGCTTTTGGAGAAGTGCTTATTCTGTTCGTCTGAGCTAGGTTTTCGTTCACTGACGCAGTAAATTTGATGGACAAAACGGAGAGGTAGGTTGCATGAGTCACAGCCATCCACACGGTTCAGACACTGTGTCGCCGTCATAAACAATCCTTTCTCTCCTCTCCGTGACGAACTCATTCCTGTGCGGGAGTACATAAGCCTAAACAACTTGGTAGAAGAGTTGCATTGGATCGCCACAGCAGCAACTAGACAGACAGAAAAACAAACAAAAAACTCGCTGAACGACGCAGCCTTAACCCTCTACACCCAGGTATATGCGTGTGAAAAGCTTGTAGCTTCAGTACACCTAGCACAGCGCAGTTTGGTATTCAGTAAACTGCCTACACAGCACGAGTGTTACAAAAAGTTGTCTCCGGTCATAGCGCTTATTACACCACACTGCAGTTCAGTTCTGTCGTTGTCTATCCCAAGCGAGGCGCTTAGCAGGCAGAGTCTGCGACCACGATCCAGTCGCCCACTCGCCCGATTGAAAGGGGGCATTTCCCGTCGACATTTGAGGGCTACTTATCTGTTCATTCCTTGAAAAGAATCAATGATTATGGCAATGGTTAACAACCTCCCGACAGTCAAGGACTCTCGTTGGCTGCAGCTGGAGGTTTGCCGAGAATACCAGAGAAATAAGTGTACCAGACCTGACACTGAATGTAAATTTGCCCATCCGCCTGCTAATGTGGAAGTTCAAAACGGAAGGGTGATCACTTGCTACGATTCCATAAAGGTAGGATAATCCTGTTTTGTAATAAAATGAATCAACTTTATACGTGTTTTATTTATCTGTATTTTCGTTTATCTCTTCAGTTGTCCAGCCAAACTATTAATACGGATTTTCGTGAATTTTTGGTAACAATATCTTGTTCCCATTTACTTTAAACCGACGAATGTACTAAAAGTCAACTAAGATATTAATGACTTACATTGAAACTCAACATATTATAAGCTACCAGCAAGATAGAATTTATACATTTCAAGTGACTATGTGATGGTTTTTCTTGATTTTTGAGGAAAACGTTATTTAGATTCAATACGTAGTTAAACTTGATTTTCTTTAGTAACAAACCATAATTTCTTGGATTAGACACGAGTCGCAGAATATTTATAAAAAAACATGTTTTATTTCACTTTACTAATACGTTTTTTATATTTCCGTTTTAACCGGACTAAACTATGCGATATTAGAGCATCTAATATTCTATTTGCTCTATTTTGGATATTAAATGGAGATTACTCAGACACCCCCCCCCCTCTCTCGTGCGTTTTACATGTTTGCGTAATTGGTGGTAATTGTGAAGGAATACTCCCAAGTAATTGTTATCTCTATTTTATTTGTATTAGTCGCGCATAGGTAAATTCTGGTAGGAGTGGATTTTGATATTTTAAACTACAATTCTTAATATGTACTTGTGAAAGCAACACCCGGACTACTTGTTGCTAACTCGTGTCTGTAAACGAGAGAAAATACACGAGTTTGACGTAATGACGACTCTGACACGCTACCAAAGATTAACTATTAGCAACAACAACAATAAAAAACAAAACAAAAGTGTTTTTTATAAAAGAAATTAACAAGTGGAATTAGTGTTGACATAGCATACTCAACTTATCAGTAACTTAAGTAAAGTAGTAGTACCTTTACGTTTCTGTAGTGGGGCTTTTAGAAACTTAAATGGAGGTCACACGTAACTAGGCTAAACAGTTTGCCAACCACTTTAAATTTTGTGAGTCAGCGTATTAATACGAGTCTTCCACTTGCACTGTACTGCGCTGAAATGTTATCTTTGTAATTTTTGTGATAATAGTTCACTTGAGCGAATAGTCTTAGATCATGTTAATCTTTCATGGACATTAGAATAGTAACATTTATATTAGCTGAAACAAAAAGTCAGCTCAGAAACCTAGAAACCTCCTTGGGTTTGTAAATAATTATATTATCATCGTATAAATAAATAAATATATATATATATACATACACACACACACACGACAATGACAGTTCAAAAGTGCGTGATAAATGTTGTTTTCGTAACGTGAAGAACAGCTGGAAATGATATATCACTTATTTAGTCATTTAAAATAAAGGAAAACAATTTTATATATAGTTAAATTTCATTTATTTATCTCATTGATTAATAACTTATATTTTATACAGCCCACGTAATGTATCATATTGAGTAGTTTTATGTAACTTATATTTTATACAGCCCACGTAATGTATCATATTGAGTAGTTTTATATAACTTATATTTTATACAGCCCACGTAATGTATCATATTGAGCAGTTTTATATTTTTGCCTGCAACAACACACACTGTAAAAAACTGACCAAAACCGTTATGTGAAATTATTGATTTTCCATGTAAAATACGTAGAGGACGCTAGCAGTAATTAATGGGATTAGTTGCAATATTCATGGTATTTTTTGTGTGATCTCGTATGTTATTAGGGCCCTTAACCATCAAAGTCACGGGTCCACAAAAACTTGGTGTGTGAATAGTTTAGAAAATGTTTATAAAGTCACTGGGATCCCTTTCCTATCGATTATTATTGGGTTAACGTATTTTCAAGTGGACTCAATCTACCACATACTTCAGGTATGTGTACTTTTGTTAATTGAATTACTATTCAGGTTATGTGTTTTTATTTATTTTTATTTTACCTGTTAAATAATATTTGAATGAGCTATAGATAGACGGCTGATACTGGATAAAATGTTAGATAGAAAAGAACATTGTTAGCTAGTGTGGTTCTACTGGTATTGGCAGATTTTACGCGACGCCACGAGAATGTCTCAAACTATTTGCAGCTATGTGGTTTATAATGTACGATTTAATGGCTTCCGAAAGCATTTTCAGTTTAAGTATTGACTATTTAAAATAATTTAGAGTGTACAGATGTAATAAAAGAGACCGTTTTAAGTTATATAATAGTTAATATAAAGCTTGTTACTTGAACTAGAGAATTTCTCATTTTTTTACGAAACATTTTGCACTTCCATTGCAACTGTAACAGCTTAGCACAATATTTATATGGAATGTCGAGGATGTTTTTATTGTAAACGAACTTAGGTCAAGATGCATACCTCGAAACAAGCTGAACCTGTTTGTTCTGCTTTTTTTTTATATTTCTTTGTGTTTCTTGGTAGTTATCTATCTACCTAAACTGCTAAATAGAATTGGGCCATTAGAAAGATTTAATGTTTCTTCAGGTCACAGCGCGAACAAGTCTGATGCTGGTTTTGAATTTTTAGCATCACACAGAAATAACTTATCTCTTTTAAACTATAGTTTTTTTTTTCAGACTACTAGTTTTATAAAACTAACCCGTCTATTAGTAGTAATATTTTTTTTAAAATTCCGTATGATCAATTGTTAAGTAAAGATCGATTAATTGATAACAGATTTATTCGTATAAGACAAATGAATTGTAAATAGTAAAATGCAATTCTTGATGCTATTTTTCGGGCATTTAGCAATTTTAAAAAAAATGGGTCTTTTGAATGCTAATCACTACATTAATGGAAAACTTAATGAAATATGCCCTGCAAGATATGTTATATAATTTTTAAAGCCTTTCAATACGTGATAATGCCCTGCATTGATAGCTGTTTTTATATTTAATTTATGTAGCTACACCTACAAGCAGGAAAGTACAATACGTCACTAGCGACTTAAATAAATTTTCTTTTATACATGATGACTGTCATTAATAAATCGCATACTTTACCATTATCGGTTAGAATTAGGCACTAATGAAATATTTTGCCTCTTAATAAATATCAGATAATTTTGGAAGATTCATAGTTTAGGGCTACTATATAATCTATTTTACAGATATAAAATCAAAAACATCATTTTTTACTGGTAAAAGTGAAAATAGATTGTTCTATAGAATACAAAAAAGTGATTGTGTATTTATAAACAAGAGACGTGTTTAAAATCATGAAATAAGAAGTCAGATTACGACTTGTAACACAATTAGGAAATTTGTAAATGTATTTATGTATATCATAAAAATGTGTGTATATATATGTTTATATGTACACACACGCATAGCATCTATGGAATAACAAGTTTAAATAACATAACTGCATCCTTATTGGGCTCATTCCTGTTAACTGCTTGGTATGGAGAAGAGTCAGATGAGTGGGCGGATTGGTCTAGGAAAGCTAATATTAATATTGAAATACATATTAACAAGTGTATGTTTATAACACAGACGACTGATCGATGAGGTGGTCGTTGGGCAATTTCCGTTAGTCACATCATATCCCACACAAAAAAGGGTGGGTTGGTGGCAGAAATGAGAGCTTATTTCCTTCTTATTCTCAAAAGTAAATGATCTTATAGTTTGTGGCTTGTAAGTTTTGTGTATATGATCGTTCATTAGTTTGCTATTTCTTTTAGACACGTTTCATATATAAAAAAATCAAACAATTTTTTATATGCTCCATTCAAAAACTAATATATTCATTTTACCACAAAAACCGTCAGAATTATTATTCATTATGTCGAAGAAGCGAAGATTATTCATTTAAAGCCTTACATGGTAAGTGTTTGAAATATGTACAGTGTTTGTGAAATCATGCGTTACGTAAAAAAACGAATTTTGCAAATGACTAACTTCTGTGCTTAACAGTGCATGTTTAACTCGGTGTGGAATTTATAACCAAACCTATAGGTTGATGAACCGAAAACAATATCAATCAAAATATATATATCCCAAAGCGGTACGCTGAGCAAGAGACTGTAGTAAATAAATGATCCGTTTGACTGTGTGTGGACGAAAAATATAACTCGACGTCGTACAGCTATAGATCAGTGGTTGATTGTCTTTTCACGATGTATACATTTATCTCATAGTTTCTTTGTTTAAACCTTTAACCTAAAAGAAAGAATTATGACTATCAAACTTAGCATCAAGTTTAATTGTACACAGTGGCATTGCCAGTAGTGTTACCACATGCGTTATGCATTATAGGTATCCAATTATAAGAACAGTTTTCCTTAGAGAAATCCACTATTTTCTTATCCTTTCACGTTTCATGTAAGCATGCTTAGACGCACGGAACGATCGCCTGGATTTCAATGGAAGTCTCAAATGATCTCCCGTACTCTTGGAATATAATAATAGTAGATGCTGCAGGCAGAAGATGGTGTCGTTATGTGTGAAAGGTACCTTATTGGGTAAATACGTTATAGATTATTATATGTATTCCTATGACCATAAAACGTAGCGTGTGAACGATTTCTTGTTTTAAACGTTTTTATTTGAAAGTTTCAGCAACGGATGGCGCTACGTGTCTAATGTAATAAATGTATGTGATTTATCGTTTCATATTTTACACATATTTTTAAAACAATGCCAAATAATTAGGTTGGGTTGTGAGTACTTAATTAGTATTTTTAGTTAGCCGGATAATGTGCTATTTTCGTACTAGAATTAACGTCTACTTAAAGCTCTGGACGTAAAGAAATAAGTTTACCCAAGTTTTTATTTGGGTAAGCAGATTTTCTTTCTCTAGGGACGAAAGTGATATGATTTATAAGTTTAAATGTGAGAGCTAGTTTAGCGATCTTTCGGTGATGATATGAAATTGTTCAAGTTTTTTTAAACAAAAGATTGCGGGTTTAATAATGAGCCATCGCTAATAATTCCAAACCTAACAAATTTTCGGTAACTAGGTTTTATGCACAGTCATGCAGTGTATAGAAATATTTTCCA